GGAGGAAGGAATGTGGAACCTTTCCACTAACAATGGAAATTAGGCCCGTGATTCATTTCAAATAGGCCATTGAATAGCCATATAGCCATCACTTGATAACATCTAGATGCTACTGACCAGTATCAGATTCGTACTAGTGGCTTACAGGTTAAAGGTTCCATATTGCCAATCAATCCCCTTAATCAGCCAGTCCGGTGACGAATAACATTTCAACAATCTGTTGGCTATAAGGAAGGTGGACTTCTAGTTACGCTGCTGGTCTGGAACTCAAAAGAAAGGGGTTCAAGTCCCATCTCTGTCACAGACTTCCTGTGTGACCTTAGGCATGTCACTTGATCTTTGTATACCTCAGTTCTCCATCTGTAAAATAGGGATAATTAAATTTTCTTTCTTGCACCCTTTGTCTGCCTTGTCTGTTTGGAGTGTAAGCTTTGTGAAGCAAGGGCTGATTTTGTGTGTGTGTGTGTGTGTGTGTGTGTGTGTGTGTGTGTGACGTACCTAGCACAGTGGGACCCAGATCTCAATTGGCACATTTAGATGTAATAATTTAGAAGGGGCTTTTGCATTGGATGCCTTATTATTGGGCTCAATACAAGAGTGACTAGGTGCAATGTAGCAGCCTGTGATATACAGGAGGTCAGAATTGATGATCTATTGGTCCCTGCTGGCCTTAAACTCTATCAGATCTGTGATTCTGTTAATGATTTTATTAATTATTTATCATCATTGTTGTGATGATTTATTTGTTTGTTTATTTACTTGTTTGTTTGTTTGTTTATTTATGCAACTTTGGTTTCTTGCAGCTCGGCAGGTGGCGATAACCAAACACTTGCAGGATGTGGAGACTGAGGAGGAGAGCTGCGCTGTCTTCTCCTGCGAGCTGTCCCATGACGACGAGGATGTGGAATGGTTACTGAATGACACCGTCCTCTACACCAACAGCTGTAATGAGATCAAGAAGATCGGCAAGTGCCACACTCTGACACTGAAGCAAGTCACGCCAGACGATGCAGGAACGGTGACGGTCAAGACGGAGAAGGTGTCGGAAAGCGCTCAGCTGAAGGTGAAAGGTGGGTAATGGCCCCAATCCTATGGAATCATTTAAGAATGTAAATAAGAAATGGAAAAGGGTTATTCAGTTGCCTCGTCCTTTCCCTGCCAATGCAGTGTAGCTCCCTATAGGCCTTCTCTACCCAGAATGTGAGTAGTTAATTAACATGGATCCTACCTCTTCCCTTAGGTGTGAATTTTGTAGTCCAACTGAAGTTATTAGGAAATTTGACCCGATATCCTGCCAAATATTTCCCTTGTTCAGCATTATCCTATTACTTCTCACTGTTGCTACCTGGATCACGCTGAAGAATTCTTTCCTCTGCTGAATGTTACCTTCAAAAACCTATAGATGATTATCTTGTATTGTTTCAGAGTAGCAGCCGTGTTAGTCTGTAGCCTCAATCTTGTATTGGCCTTTGATTATTTTTAGCTAAACTCCAGTGTGTATCTAATGGGGCACGGCAGATCACTCCTTCCTTTCAATAAACCTATTCTGGAATTAGACTGTTTCAACAGCAAGGAAATATTTAGTCATGGTTATGTATGTATCTTTGGTGAGAAGACAACAGAGGGAGAAGCTGGAACTGAAGGTTCTTTGAGATTTAGTCCCCAATTCCCTTCAGAGAATCTGAGATTTTCTCCCCCCTTCATGTCCCCTTCAGAGAGTCTGAGGGATTTACTTCCCAAGTCCCCTCAGAGACGCTGAGGGGTTTACTCCCCCGTCCCCTCACAGTCTGTCAGATGTTGTTCTGTTTTTCTGTACACAAAGAGCAAACATGCACTTTTAGACAAAATGGGTTTTAAATTAGATTAAGGAAAATAACAAGGTGTTGGAGGGGGAAGTAGAATCTCCATGAGAGAGAGCGCAATATGTTTCTCTCCTGCTGCTAACATGCTGCATTAAGTGTAGAGCGATATGCAGTCTCCCCAGCTGGGGGGGAAGGGTGGAAAAATAAAGTCACATCCTTTTCTCTGGGGCTCATTTTCTTTCTAAAACACAAACTCAAAACCATAACCAATCAACTCACACTAGTGGGTATTAACTACCTGAACTCTTTCCAGCTTCAGCCAATTGGGAGGGGACACAGCCTTCCCTTGTGTTGGTCCTCCCTGGCTACAATGGTGAGGCCGACGACCCTAGGTCTCTCCGGTTGGCTACCCCTGCTTTATAGCTGGCTTCCTGTAGGACACGACATCCTTGCTCCGAGTCATGTGCCCTGTGGCTACAACTTCCAGTTTTAAAGGGCCCAAGAGCTGTAATAGGTCCATTGGGGGTGTGCACATGTACCCCAAGGCCCAGTTACAGGCACTGTACTGTAGAGAGAAATATGAATCATAACCACAGTACACAAGGAGCACCACGATTCTGTGGGACCTCAGCACTGCAAGTAACTGCCCGTGGCATGGAGATGCAGATCAGCTGCTCCCACTCATCTCTACACCCCTCCTCCCGCAACAAAGGGGTTATTAAAAATGGTGGTCCCCCTCCCTCCAAAATAAATTCCAGGGACATGAGGTGTGAGAGTGCCTTCGATTCCCATATGTATATGGTCACGGCGGCACTGAGCATGACAAGGGTTTGATTAAGCCCTCTTTAAGCAACTGGAAAGTACAGCAAGTTGTTTAGTCTGAATTTCCTGGTTTTTTTCTCCCTCTCCCCCCTCCCCCACATTAATTTCCTTCAGAGAAGCCCATCATCTTCATGAAGTCCTTGGATGATGTCGTTGGGGAGGAGCGTGGTGTGATCACACTGGAGTGTGAGGTCTCCAAACCAAAGGTCAAACCCGTCTGGAAGAAGGACGATGTGGAGCTCACCCCTGGCGACAAGTATGAGCAGATGCAAGCTGGGAAAACACTGTGTCTCATTGTTCACGATCTGAACAAGAATGATGCTGGTTTATACACATGTGATATTGGCACTGACCTTGCCAAGTCACGAGTCAGTATTCAGGGTAGGTGCAGCTGAAAACAATGGTGTTCTTTTAAATGGTGCTATAAATGAGTGCTGCATGCTTCTACTCTTTGAGTCACATATTCTCCTTCATGAGGCACAGTAATCTCCATTTTAAAATAAATATTTATCAGTAGTTACCAAATGATACATTGATGTCTCTGCAATCACAGTTATTCTCTATTCTAAGCATAGGGAAAAACTATGACATCTCAAATAGCATTGAATGGTACCTGTTGGAAGCCCATAACATTTTAGTGGCAGACATTGTAGACCTGCAAATTTATCAAGAACTTTATTTGCTCATTTTGTTCCTAGATAAGGCATATTTTATGGCTAACTTCGATAAGATGGCCAATGATTTCTCCTCCTATTTATCATTCATTTAGTTTGAGGCATTTGGTATAGCAGAGGTGCAGAGTGCTGCACACGTCTCTGCTGGGTTCAGCTGTTTACTGGACTGAGCTATGGAGAAAATCCTTCTGAACCTTCTGTGATTAATAGAAATCATGAGCCAAAATGACTGACAAACGCCTTAATAAAAATACTGATCATACATATGCACGCAAAGGAAGAAATATGGGTTTCTTTAAAGAAAATAACATGGAGTTTAACATGTATCAGATGTTAACTTAGAGTCTATTCTGGGGAAACAAAAACAGAATTATATCATTCATTTAAAAAAAAAATACCCACAGGCTACTGTTCCTCAGTCCTTGTGACTGTCTGTAGGAAGAAAGTGTCCCAAGTTTTTCAAATGCCCATCTGTTCTGAGACAGATCTGGAGCTGTCCTAGGCAGGTCACAACATTGCAAACAATCACGAACATCCCATTTGCCTATCTCATAGAGCTGGAAGGGACCCTGAAAGGTCATTGAGTCCAGCCCCCTGCCTTCACTAGCAGAGCAAAGTACTGATTTTGCCGCAGATCCCTAAGTAGCCCTTCTCAAGGATTGACCTCACAACCCTGGCTTTAGCAGGCCAATGCTCAAACCACTGAGCTATCCTTCCCCCCCATTTCTCAGACCCAATGTGAGTGGAGACCTTCATCGCACACACAGGTGTAGAGGCTTCCTGACTGACACTCTTGTCTCCAGCTTTCATGGAATCATGGCTCCATTTCACCGAGGTTGCTCGTTTTCCTGAGCATGCTAATTCTAGTGCAAGCTGTCCAGGGGTCTAACAAGTCCTTTTCTCACCCCTACAAGTCCCCCCACGCCTACAACTCAGGTGTTTAGTGATACCAATGTTCAGCTCTGGGGGCTACACTTGGCATCAAGGGATAACTTATGAGTAGTTCTTCCACAGTATTGAATATGCAAATGAAGAATGCGGTGCTTTTCCGTCTCTCATTCTCCTAACCCTTCAGATAGCAAGTGTTCAGTATTGTTCTTCATGTGACTTTTAAGCCTTCTCAGGCCTCTGACTGCTGTACAATACCACTTTTCTCCAATCCTAAATAATTATACCACCCGCCTTCTTGCCTTCCAGAGCTGAACATTGGTATCACTAAACGCCTGAAGAGCACTGAAGTTCAAGAAGGGGAGAATTGTACTTTTGAGTGTATTTTGTCCCATGAAAGCATTGGCGATTTCCACTGGCTGCTGAAGGGGAATGAAGTTCACAGTGGTGGACGATTTAAGACCTTTAACAAAGGGCGGAAATACACCCTCGACATCAGAAATGTGGTTGCTGCTGATGCTGGGGAAGTAGTCTTCACTGCTCGCAACTTGAACTCCAAGGCCTCGCTGGTTGTGAAAGGTAACGAGTGCAGAGATATTTCAGAGTTGGGGCAATCTCAAAAAATAGGTTATCTCAGTAAATTGTAAAGGCAAAATCCTTATCTCGTTGAAGTAAATGGCAACTTTCCCATTGAATTCAATGGGACGAGGAACTGGTGTTAAAAACAACTTGAAATATTGAAACATTTTATACCGCTTTTAAAATAAATGTTTATGGGGGGAAGGGAATATTGAAAGTGACCTCATCTCTGCCTGCAATTTTCTGAGTACTATTAATTACAGGTCAGAAATTATAGGTGCAAATGATTGCAGGTGCAAATGATTGCATGTGCAAATGCAGTTAGATGACTAGCCACTCAATTTGCACCCACAGTAACAGCATCCATAATTAACTATGAATGCAAAATGGTAGCCACCAAAATAAATGCCTTTTTTTTACAAATAAGTACCATTCTGTCATTCTTGTAAGTAATTAATTGTCAGTTCCCAATTGCTGCTCATTGACATCCAATAAATACAATTAATGTCTACTAAACATGAACACTTGCTTTTTCCCCAAATAGTTCTATCCGAAAGTAAATCAGTAATGTAATGTGAATTATTTATTCTGTTATGTGAATCTATATTAAATGATTTTTTAGATAGAAGGAAGCCTAATTCTCCAAAAAATGATAAAGTTCCAGAACATGGATGTTTAAAGGTATTGTTGCTTCCCTCAGAAAAACCAGCAGAGATTATAAAGCAGCTGGAGGATAAGACAGCAGCAGCAGGACAAGACATCCGCCTGAGCTGTGAAATGTCCAAACCTGACACAAATGTGAAGTGGTACAAGGATGGCAAAGCAATCCGGAAAAGCCAAAAATATGACTTACGCCAAGAGGGAACATGGGCCATACTCGTCATCCATGATTCCATGACCAAGGACACTGGGGAATACATGTGTGAGATGGAGACATCTAAAACTAAAGCATTGGTCACAGTAGAAGGTCAGTGGACAAACACCCAGGAGCCTGAAAGTATGTAGAGAAGGGCAAAAAAACTGCAAAACTTTTGAAGACATTTTATTTCACTGGCTTTTTTAACCGACCAGTTTTTCTGTTTTTCCAAACTTCGTACAGATCTTTTTTATTTCCTTTTTTTTTTCAGATTAGTAATTTCTGAAAAAAAGTCACCATTTTGAAGAACCTTACTGTGTGACTTAACTGTCTGATCTGCATGGGCAATGGCGAGGGAAAGCCCCCAAACACACACTGAAAATGATATAAATGAAAAACTGTTTGAACTTTATTAATGTTAATTGTACCATAAATGCGAGAGTAATTAGACCACAGTCTATGCCAAAGAGAAGTCCAGTGGTTAGAGCAGGGGACTGGGATTTAGAAGCGATTGGCTCTATCCCCATCTCTGCTGCTGACTCTGTAGAACATCTTTGTGATTCAGTTTCCCTAACTTTACAATGGAAATAATAACACTTGCCCACCATTATTAGTTAACATTCATATTGCAGTAGCACCTTGTCAGGGGTTCCCCCTCCCACTCTGAACTCTGGGGTACAGATGTGGAGACCTGCATGAAAGCTCCCTACGCTTATATTCTACCATCTTAGGTTAAAATTTCCCCAAGGCACAAATTCCTTTCCTTGTCCTTGGACAGTATTGCTGCCACCACCAAGTGATTTACACAAAAATTCAGGGAAGGGTCACTTGGAATCCCTATCCCACCAAAATATCCCCCCAAACCCCTTCACCCACTTTCCTGGGGCGGCTTGAGAATAATATACCAACTAATTGCCTTAGCAATGTGAGCACAGACCAGACCCTTTGTCTTCAGGACACTGAAATCAATCAGGTTCTTAAAAGAAGAACTTTATTATAAAGAAAAAAGTAAAAGAATCACACCTGCAAAATCAGGGTGGAAGGTAACTTTACAGGGTAATAAAAAGATTTAAAACACAGAGGATTCCCCTCTGGGCTCAGCTTCACAGTTACAAAAACAGGAATAAAACTACCACTGTAGCATAGGGAAATTCACAAGCTAAAACAAAAGATAACCTAACGCATTTCCTTGCCCTACTTACAATTTCTGTGGTTTTAGATGGATTATTCCAGGTATATTTTCAGGAGATGTTGTACATGCTTGGCTTCTCCCTCTGTCCAGAGAGGGAACAACAAAAGAGAGCAACAAACAAATCCCCTCCCCTGACCCCCCCAGATTTGAAAGTATCTTCTTTCCTCATTGGTCCTTCTGGTCAGGTGCAACTAGGTTATTTGAACTGCTTAACTGCTTACAGATAAGGCAATTCAGTACAGCTGCCAAGGAGGGATTTTATGCTACCCTTCCCTCTATATTTATGACACACCTAAAGGCCACAACTATTACTCCAGGCACAAAACAGACCGATAATAAATTACGATCCTTTCCCCAAAGAGTTTGCAATCTAAAAACCAAAATGTAACAGGTGGATGAGAGACACCTTTCCACCTCTGCACAGCACTTTGAGGTGTTGAATAAGTGCAAAAATATTCTTATTAATAATGATAAATAATAATACCATATATACTTGTTCATAAGCCAAATATTTTTGGTAAAAAAGTGAAGCATCAAAGAGCGGGGATCAGCTTATAAACGGGTCTACACCAAAATTTGATGATTTTAAACTCTATGGAATCATTGAATTGAATATCTAATACATTGTCTTTTTGTTTACCTGGAGCATCTGCAGGCATGGAGCCCCTCAGCTCCCTGTGGCTGCGGTTGGCCGTTCCCAGCCAATG